AGGTAGGACTTCAACACTATTTCCATTCCTAATCCCCGGGCCCATTATTCCCAATTCCATGAGAATATCCTCACCCGCTTTCCTAACTCCAGCCCCTACCCACCCCACCCCGGTCTCAGGCCCAACTCCCAATCAACTCAGCACCAACTCTTCATTTAAACTCAGATATCCATTTTCACCCTCCAAAAATTTTACCCCCGCCCCCCCTTCACCCCCCCCCCCAGCCCATCCTGCTTTCCAGCTTCACCCATCCTCCTCACTGGTGGCTTCTGGGATGTGGAGCAGGGAGAACCCCTGTGGAGGAAGGTTTTTCTGCAGCACTCCCAGCTCAGACTGCCCATCCCTGAAATGGCCATTTGGGGGAGCCCTCACCTCCTCTGCTACTAGGAGCACCCAAATGCACCTAACCTATGAAAGCTTTCCTTTAGGTGCAAATTAGCATAGCTTTAAAGAGGGGTCTAGGGGAAAACTCACTTTAAAGTAAGGCTTCCAGTAAGGGGGGTTCTAAAGTAAGACTGCTGCATCCCAGAAGACCTGTTGGGTTTCATTCACCCAGTAGATAAGGCTTAAGGCCCTGCCAGGTGGGTGGGCAGAGAGACCTGGGCCTAAGCTCTGTCCTCCAGGTCCACTGGCTGGAGGTGAGCCAGACAGGATGTGATCAGGGAGGAGGAGTGGAACACACACACACACACACACACCTGCCCAGGGTTGCTGGGGTGAGGTAGGCATTCCTGGTTGGTTGCAGGAAGGTTTCCTGGAAGAGGCAGCAGTTGAGGAGGAGGAGGAGGAGGAGGAGCTGTGGGGGGAGTGAAGGCCTGGAGGTGGGTAAGAAGTTCAGGGCGTGTTCAGGGGCCCAGAGCGTGCGAGTGTGAGGGCAGGAGAGGGAAGAGCTCTGCCCCTTCTCTCAAGCCTCCAGAGCAGCCTCCACACCCAGACGGACTTTCACGTCTGCTAAATATATCTTCACCACCCACACTCCACCTGTCCCTGCGGCTCAGCACAGGCCCACGGGGAGGGAGAGGCTGCCTCCCTGCCCTGGGCTGTACAGGTAGCAGAGCCTCTGGGAGCAGTAACCCCTACAGCTACTGTTTATGTACCTACTGTGTGCCAGGCACTGTGCCAGACACTTCACATCCCCCAGTCCTCACAGCAGACATGGGGGGAAGAGCCCTTTTTGCAGCGAGGACACAAGAAGTGTCCTTAATAGGTGGGGCTGGAGAGAAGTGGACAAATGTCCAAAAAGGGACAAGGCCTGGATAGCTGCCCAAAGGCCGGTGTTGAAGGAGGAAATGCGTCCAGCTGGTCTGGGTGGGATTCACATGCCTGAGGGACAAGGGGCAGCTGTCCAGGAGGCAGACCCTGTCCTGGACCAGGAAGAGGCGCCATATGATCTAGGACCTAAGCCTGCCCCTTGCCCAAGCAACCCCATACCATTTCGTCGCCCTCCCTGCCTCCCAGGTTTCCCATAACTCCCTTCCTTTTGCAATCTGTCAGCAATCTTGCCACCCTTCTCCCTGGCCTTAGCCATACCAGACTCGGCCTCCAGCCAGGTTCCTAACGCATCCTCATCGGTACCTCTCCCCTGCCCATCCGCCCTTCCCTCTAAACTTCAGGGCAGCCCCTAAAGAAGTGTAGGTGGTTCCCGGGGACAGCGGGGATAACTAGGGGTGGGGAGGACTCAGACCCTGCCTGGCGTCTGCAGAAGGCCCTGGTCCTGGATCAGGACTGCACCGTGCTGGCGGACCAGGAAGTGAGGCTGGAAAACAGGATCACCTTCCAGTGAGTGCCCCTCCCGCGAGGCCTGGGTTGGGGTCGGTGTTCTTCCCTGCGGGCCCTTCCCCTGGTGCTAGCACCTCTCCCGGACTAAGTCCCCACCCCCAAGCTGGCCCGGCTCCCCGGTCCAGGCCCCGCCTCCTCCCGGGGCTGGCGGGTGTGGGCGGGGAGGAGAGGCGGGGCCGGCGCTCCGCCCTTCCGCAGCCCGAGGGTCCCGTGCAGGCTGGAGCTGGCGGCGCTGCAGCGCGTGGTGCTCATCTCGGCCAAACCCACCAAGCGGCTGCAGGAGGCGCTGCAGCCCATCCTAGCGAAGCACGGCCTGAGCGCACACCAGATCGAGCTGCGCCGGGTGAGCAGCGGGGCTGGGGCAGGGGCGGGGCGGGGCGGCGGGAAGCGGGCGGCCTGGCCTGCGGGCTGCTGACCTGACCCCGCAGCCAGGCGAGAAGCAGCCGCTGGATCTGGGGAAGCTAGTGAGCTCGGTGGCGGCCCAGAGGCTGGTGTTGGACACTCTCCCAGGTAGGGAATGTTGGCCCCAGGCGTGGTCCCCGGGGCTGACCGACCCAGGAGTAAGGGGGGCTCCAGGCGGGAGATGAACACAAAAGGTGGCGCTCTCTGCCACAGGTGTGAAGATTTCCGAAACTGGCGACACACATCCCCGCCGAAGCCAGGTGAGCGAGAGGCGGAGAGCCCTCCTTTGCCCACCACACCTCCCCTCCTGGTTGTGGCTCTGACCCCACGTTCTCGCAGCGCACCACACCTGGAACCCAGGACAAGGGCATCCATCTCCCTCCACTGCCGCTCAACTCCCTGGCCGAGGCTCCCAGCAGTGTCACTGGGAATCGACAGACCTGTGACATTGAAGGTACCTTGGGGATGGTGGGAGCGAGGGACCAGTGGAGTTGGGAGCATTGAGATGGCATCAGGGGGCCAAATGTCATTTGAGCGGGAACAGGAGGTTGGAGGACCAGCAGGGCAGGGATGGGGGCCAGAGGGGGCATTGGTGCAGGGTCCGGAGGCTGTGGCCACAGTGTGGCAGCAGGACGGTGGTGGAACAGTGTGTGCAGGTCTGTGTGGGTGGGCCCCTGACTCTGTGGCCACCCCCAGGCCTGGTGGAGCTGCTGAACCGGGTACAAAGCAGCGGGGCCCACGACCAAAGGGGCCTTCTGCGCAAAGAGGACCTGGTGCTTCCAGAATTTCTGCAGCTGCCCGCCCCAGGGCCCAACTCCCAGGAGGCCCCACCACAGACTGAATCATCAGCCCAGCCCAAGAGGGGCCCCTTGGACTCCGCCGCCCACTCTGCCCTCTGACAGCCGTCCAACAGTCCAGGCTGGCCGCATGGCACCTGGCGGGCCAAGCATGCCATGGTCCCGTCCTGCATGCCCTGTCTGTGCTGTGCGTGTCCCTGGCCCCTTCCTGCCACGGGCAGGCCCGAAGGAAGAGCCAGGAGGGTTTGGAGAGGGGCTCTGAGTAGCCACACCCCACAGCTACCACCCCTTGGTCCCTCACAGGCTGGCCCCTCCAGCCCTTGCAGCCAGGCCACTGGGGGGAGGTGGGGCTCCCCTCCTTTCTTTCTCTACCCTGTGCAGGCATGCCCATCACAGAGGGGCGGTGTTGGCAGTGC